CCAGTAAGAGCAACGTGGTAGCCAACGCACTCAATAGAAAAGTGTAGGTATATTAGCTCACCTAATAGTTTCAGAATATAGAGTAATAAGCGCCACACAATAGGTACAATTTCAAGACCTGAAGAGAGTTACATACTTGGCACACCTGTCTGTTCAACTTGAGTTAATCTAGAGAATAAAAGAATCTCAATCCATCGATTCTACCCTAGTAGCCCTCAGGAAAGATGCAGAACATATTGTAAATTTAGAATTTCGAGTTTCTGCCGGTGGGTTGCTCAGATTTCAGGATAGGATGTGTGTTCCATCTGACAGTAAGCTGAAAATGGACATTATGGCAGAGGCTCACACCTCAAAGTTTGCCATGCATCCCGAAAGCATTAGGATGTATCAAAGTATACGACCCTGATTTTGGTAGAACGGAATGAAAAGGGAGGTGACCGACTTTGTTTCTAAGTGTTTGGTGTCAGCAAGTCAAGGCAAAACATCAACGCCTAGGCGAGCTACTTCAACCATTACTGATTTCAAAGTAGAAGTGAGAATACATCACAATGGATTTCGTGACAGGATTGCCTAGGGCACCCTCAGACATGGTGTTATTTTGGTAATTGTTGACCGGCTCATTAAGTTTTTTCACTTCTTGGCCATCAAGATGATCGACCCCTTGAACAAGCTAGCAAGAATGTATATCCAGGAGATAGTCAGGTGACATAAAGTGCTAGTGACAGTAGTATCCGACAGGGATCTCAGGTTCACTTTTCAGTTTTGATCTAGTTTTCAGTAAGGCATGGGAATGAAACTGTCTCTTAGTACTACATTCTATCCTTAGACCGATAGACAATCAGAAATGACGATCTACACACTAGAGGATATACTTCGAGCTTGTGTTCTTAACTTCGATGGCCATTGGGATGATCATTTATCCTTAATAGAGTTCGCCTACAATAATAGCTAACAAGAAAATATCGGCACAACTCTATACGAGGCGTTGTATGGCCACCCATGTAGATCATCGATCTGTTGGAAAGTTATGGGTGATAAAAAATTGTTCGGTCCAAATCTTGTGAAGGAGACTGCAGCCAAAATAGTTAAGATTAAGAAAAACATCCAGACATCTTAGAGTAGGTAGAAGAGCTATGCGGACACTCGATGGAGGGATTTGGAATTTGAGAAAGGTGATCGAGTGTTCTTTAAGGTCACTCCATTTAAGGGAATTAGTAGGTTTGACAAGAGAAAAAAACTAAATCCCCGGTTTATTAGGCCACTTGAAATCTTAGACAAAATTGGTACCGTCACTTACAAACTAGTATTATCTCTAGAACTATCCAGAATCCATAATGTATTTCATGTGTCCATGTTACATAAGTACAACTCGGACCACTCTTACATCTTGGCCGACGAGCCCCTTTCACTCCAAGAGGATCTATTCTATGAGGAGGTACTAGTGGGCATTATGGACCAAAAAAGCAGAGTACTCTGCAACTAAAAAATTCCATTCGTTAAGGTCCTATGGCAGAATCATACATAGAGAGAGGCCACATGGGAGCTAGAATCAGATTTTAGAGCTCAGTATCCTCAACTGTTTGATTGAGTGAGAGGGAGACAAATTTAAGAGACCAAATATCTTTAAAGGAAGGGAGACTTGTAATACCCGATTAAGAGACCAAATATCTTTAAAGGAAGGGAGACTTGTAATACCCGAACCCAGAATTTGGCTCAGGATTAATTTTAAAATTTTAAAAATGTATAAAAAATCTAATTTTGAAATTAATAAATTTTTATTTAATGTGAAATTAGGAAAAAAATAGATTGGGGGGTGAAATTGAAAATAATTTTAGAAACAATTGTGAAAATTTAGGTTCGGATGGTGTCTTTGGTAGAAAAATCAGAAATTGGAGGTCAAATGCAATTAAAAAAAATTGCACTACATAAGACTAGTCAGTCAGCAGCCTCGACGAACCGGAGCGTGTCGCGTGGCAAGGCATGCTGACTCAGTGCCATGCGAGAGGCCACGCTGGCGATCCGCGTGCCCCACAATTGGATGGCCTAGAAGCATTCCCACGCGTGCGGACGGTCCGAATCTGTTCCCTCCTAAGGCATGATCGGATGATCATGATTAAATACGATAAATGATCCAAATTCATTCATTCTTTAAACGTGATTGTATGATCAAGATCAAATCGCGATGAATGGTTCATATCAATTTTATCTTTAAACGTGATCAGACAATTGAGATCAAACGCGATGAACGGTACAGATTAATACGAGATGGGTATAAATATCTCATATTACACCGAATCCAAACCCTAACCGCCAGCCTCCTGTTAGAGAAAAAGAACCAGCTGCCGGAGAATGGAGACTTTCATTGCACCGGAGCCACCTCCGACTGCCAAAAAAAGTAAAAATTCTCTTATCCGCTCAGAATTTGATTTCAAGCACCCCATGGCCAAATCGAAGCAAAAGGAACAGCGAATGAGCCAAAAACTGTGGGCAAAGCCTGACGGCACTGCCGCAGGTAAAACCCAAAACCTCCTCCGATGAGCCCCTTCCCATTTTTCATTTTGTGCAATTTTTTCACCATTGTGTTCACCATTTTATTTTCTACAGGTTGACCGAAGAAAAACACTTAATTACGAAGGTGTGCCAGTGGACTCGCCGCACTGAAAAATTCTGCTGCCTGTAGATTTCTATTTTTTGACTTTTTGGCCAACCGAGGCCCTCTAACGTATTTGCTCGTAGGGATGGGGTTAAAAGCGACCGAAATTGGCTAAAATTGGTCGAAAACAGCCAGGATGAGACAAACCAGCACCGCGAGCAGCGGTGCCATCGTCGAAGCACGACGGTGCCGCCTTGCCAGAATCCCAAAATTGATCGAAAAAATTTTTTTAACACTGATTTTGGATTTTTATACTATTTTTATGTACGTAAAGCATGTTTTAATCTCTGCAGAAAAATTAAAAAAACTCGAGAATCATTAGTAGGCACAATAAAAAGTTCAGTGTTTCGGGCACCGATTCGAGTAAGAATCCCTCACCGTATTCTCTGTTATGGAATTGAAGCTTAATAATCGATAATATAATATTTTGTGTAATTTAAAAAACTTTGAGAAAAATTACATGTTACTAATGAAGCCGAAATCAATAAGTCATTTATTTGTTATCTTGTGTAATCGATTATTGAATTTATAACTTTAAATACATGATGATATACTGGAATGGTTAAATGATTCACTTGTATTTTTTAATATATATATTGCTCGTCTTGCATGATTTACGGTTGATTTGTGAAATTAGAAATTAATATACAAACGGAAAATTATTTGGCCATATGAATTAATGAATGACATCCTTACTGGATATCTTGGAATATGATGGACGGACCAGATACATAGGGAACCCTACCGTGAACGTTGTCTTATACCGGACAGGGTACCGTGAAATGAGATTTTTGGTGTTCATACCGGACGGGAAATGAGGACGGTCCGATTCACCCTCATACCGGACAAGTTATTGAGGGATGATATTTTTTGCATTCATACCGGACGGGGTATAGAGACAGTCGGTTAGTTGACAATGTTGGATATTGGTTCACACGTAGTGGAACATGCCTATGGGCCCCCAAGAATACCAGTAGGTAAATAAAAAGGAAAAATTATTGTTCTTACTTATATGAATATGAGATTGAAATGTTATTCGAGTTATTGTCTCTATAGGTTGATTTTGAGAATCTCGCAACAGTAAATATATACAATAAATAGTTTTTTTTGTGATAAATGAATTTACTTAAATCAAAAGCTCCATTAATTATTTTTATGATTTTTTCCAACCTTCAGTTTCTTTATCGATGAGTAATGTGATATTCTTACTGATTTAGTGTAACTCACCATTTCATTAACTATTTCATATCAAGAGGATCAAGACTCAGATCTCGATCGATAAGAGGGTTATGAATAGTTCACTACTTGGACTCCCTTCAAAAGCTAGTGAAGGTCGTCCTAGAATGCTCAGTATATTGTATTTTTGTTTATTTCTTTAATTTTCGTTTGTTTTTTTAGAATGAATATTTTCGTAACTCTATTTGACATTCTAACTTATTGTGTAAAGAATGTAAACCTTAAACTCTATTATTTCATTTCTACATTTAATTCATGAATTTATTTCTTTTTACGTTCCGGATCTTTACATTTTATCATATTAATATAAACATAGTTATATGTATACTAAAAAAAACTAAAAACATATTTATTAATATATATAAATACAATATTTATTAATTATATTTACTAAAATAAAAAATAAAAATATATGTACACAATGAATTGGATTGGTGCAGGTTCTACAAAGTCAAATTCGAATTCACCTTGATTTTTTCACCAACCCAACCTGATCCAACTAAAACATTCCACTTTAATTAAAAAAAAAAAATGACATACAATCGAATTCAAAGAGATCAGATTAGACGACTTTAAATACAAATATCATACCTAACTATAAGGTAATTTTAGACGATCATTTACATACATAAATAAGACAACTGAATAAATGTTATCAATGGATGCATAACAACGAGAGTAGTTTGATCAAATTTAGCTTATATGTTAGTTTGTTAGAAATAAAGACGAAAATAAAACATAAATGAGATAAAAATGTAAATAAAAATAACATTTTAATTCTATTTTTTATTTAAATTGTCTAATTTAAAAAAAAAAAAAAAAAGAAATTGTCATTGACAAATTAGAATGTAAGATGTTTTATTATAGAATTGAAGATATATGTGGAATTAGTTCAATATACTTGTATCTTAAGCATGTAAATTATAATTAAGTTATCCATACTAAATAATTAAAATATATGAATACAATGAGAATAGAATAAATCTAGATCAAAATATATTAAAATAGATAAAATAAGCTTGCCTCAAAGATCTCACGGGTTTAGGCAATATCTATGAGAGCAACATCTTGTACGAAATTATTAAACATCTAAAAGTAAATAAAAAATACCCTAAAAATTAATTTTTCCGTCAAAAGTAGCACCAAATTGCCAATTAGAGGCCGCAATATCTTTGAATTCCAACATTTTCCCATCACTTGTTGTAACTTGGAACGACAAACTTTGTCCTACAAGATTTTTTCCAGTTTGCCAATTAACTCCCCAGTTGCGTGACATTGGTATCCAAGAACTGGTTTCAGAGCCCCTAATTTGGACATTAGTAATGTCACCAACACCACCAACATTGTAAACTAATACTAAAATCCAATATGGGTTTCCCTTGATTTCAAATTTAACTCCTCCTTGTTTGGTGCACGTGACGCGACGATACTGGACAGGAATAATGCCAGCTTTGTACTCGGCAAGAGCGAGGAACATTTTTAAAGACAAATCAAAGTGTTTTAGTGGAGGATTGCACCAATTTCCGTTGGGTTTAGAGTAATTAGGAGGACAAAAGTTTGTTGCTGTTACTTTAATAATAGCATTTGGTTTGCACCATTTAGGATTATTTACGCACTTGATCTCAAAACAAGCTCCACAAGTTTTTCCATTGTTGAATAGTGCAGTGCTTAAAGCTGTTGTCTCTAGTCCATATCCTTGTTGATGGAGATCGTTATACCCACAAGCTCCTTCTGTTCGGTAGTTCAATTATTAGTCAATTACATACAGTCACAAAATTATAAATAATTTTAAAGTACTAAGAACGTTACAGTGAATTAAGTTAAAAAGAAAAAAATCGATATTGATTATAGAAAATAAAATAATACAAAGTTCATATATTGTAAATATTTAGGAGAAAACACAGAAAAAAAAAAAAAGAGCTTCAAATACTTTATATTGCATGGAAATCAAGTCAAGAAAAAATTTTAAAGAAACTAAAAAATAGAGAAATTTACGCATTGTTTCGGATCCACCAATGTCGCCATAAAATGTTGCATGAGCATCATACCATGTCGAATCTAGTTTGCTTTCACCAATTATCAAACTAGCAAACAACATGGTCAGCGTAAATACTTTTATAAGATCTGCCATGACTAGAAAAGCAAAAATGTTACAGATTAAACAAGAGCATTAGGTTACTATTTAAAGGGAGAAAAGATATCTACTACGAAGTTACACAATTTGTGATATTTTCATTAATGGAGATTTTTTGTTATTATAGAAAAAGAAAGAAAGTAAGAAACTAAGTCTGTTAGAAGAGAAAATATAAAAGAGTTCTATTCAATTAAAAGGGGATGCAGATATATAATAATCTTACAGGCTATATATAACATGTTTATTTATCGTTATTTAATTTTCTGTTATTTTATTTTAATTTATCATAACTACTAATTTATAATTTCACTTTGAAACCGATAATTTATGATTTTCTTAATTTTAAATTATTTTTTTCAACAAAATCAATGAAATTAAATAAAAGACTTTCATTGTTGAATCTCAAATTTTTATATTCCAACAAGAACTGTTATCTAAACCCGTTTTCATATATCAGATTATTTGACAGATTTAATATTCGTATAAATATATATATATATTAATGGGTGAAGATAATTGCCATAAAATAAATAATTTTCTCATTCAAGATAAACCAAAATAAAAACTAAATTAATAAAGATATATTTTGATTACATAAATCTATAAAATCTTTATCCTCAGTCTAGCCGTCATTAATTAATTTCTTTATGAGCAAATCATCTGAGATTAGTATGGTTAAATGTTTTGTTTTAATGGCAGCTTATTACTGTGAGATATAATTTGCTGGATTAAGTAAATATAAAATGGATTAACTCCAATTTCACTAATATTATAGATCTGATCATAAATTAGTTGATTAGCTTGAAATGGTTTTATGTGATTTTGACAAACAAAAATAGTCTCACATTTGTTGTGAATTTAAATTTCGATATATAGACTGTTGATGAATGTGTGTGTATATATATATATATATATATATATGTCTGTTCTTGGCTAATCTGTCTTGAATTTTCATGACAGCAAAACCTACTGCAAATGGATATCAAAGCCAATATAAATGAAATTTAAAAACAAAAATGTTATAATATTTAAGAAGATCAAACTAATCAAACCAATATGATCAAACTAATTAAAGTAATTCAAAATGCTGGAATAATTAAAAAATAATATAATCTCTATGAGGTGAGGATCAAGCTTGAAATCAAATGGCTGGTATTTGATAAGCACCATAAATTGCTCCTTGATTGAAAAGTATACTCCCATGAAGGTCAAAAATATACATAAACAAAAAGTCATATTATAAATATTATGAATATATCTATACCCTTGTGTTTAAAAAAAAAAAAATTATAAAAACAGAAGATGAGTTATTTTACTAATAGTATAATAATCTCGTATTTAAATTTTTTTTATTTTATTTAAAAATTATTCGTTTAAATCTCACTTATAACATAAAATACGTTATTTTATAGTGTATCATGAGTTGATAATGATCGATTTAATTTAATTAATATAGAGATTTCTTTTATTGATAATATTGATATTAATAGTAGTTATTAGTATGTTAATAGAATTAGAGTTATTAAATCGAGTAAGTTTTAAATTTATTACGTTTGTTAACACAATAAATATTTCGTAACGGTTAAATTCTTTTACTTAAAATAGTTATAATGAATTAAATGACACTAAAACACTTGATTTTTGCTGGTAGATATAAATTTATATGCAATGCTAAAAGAAACATTGCAACAATAATCATTTCCAAATTAATAGACACAATAAACTTTTTTATTTCTAAATTTTTGTCAAATGGATACATTCAACATTAATATACTCTTAAGAGTCATGTCTTATATGTATATGAATACTCATGTATAATGGAATAGAAAGTAATATATTTTTGCTATTTTCCTCTTTATTCTATTCAAACACTTTCTTAGAAATTATCAAACAAAACATTTAAAAGAAAAACAAGAAATTCAAAGATAAAAATATAACAAATTGAAAACAAAAAATTGAAAGTATTTCCAGCATGGATATATAGAACTTTTATTATATTTTTATATTACACTAATATTGAGCATCAATAAAGATATACCTCAAGTGCTCATAGTTGGATAAATACTATCATATCTTAAACAATACAAATGATTAATTAAGAGGAAATAATTAAACAAAATTTTAAAAGTTTAATTTTCCATCAAAAGTAGCACCAAATTGCCAATTAGGGTCTGTAACATTTCCAAATTCCACCATCTTTCCATCACTTATGGTTACTTGTAATGATAAACTGTCCTATGAGGTTGGTCCTAATTTGACAATTTACTTCATTATTACGTGATATTAGTATCCAATTAGTCTTAGAGCCCTTAATTCGAAGCATAATAATGTCACCAACACCTCCGACATTGTAAATCAATACTAAAATCCAATTTGGGTTTCCTTTGACCTTAAATTTAACTCTTCCTTGTTTAGTGCATGGGACTCTACGATACTGAACAAGAATAATTCATGCTTTTTCTTGGGCAGTTGTGATAAACATTTTCATAAACAAATCAAAATGTTTTAGTGGTGGGTTGCACCAGTTCTCATTAGGTTTATCATTATTGGGAGGACAAAAGTTGGTGGCTGTTACTTTAATAGTTCCAGCATTTGGTATGCAGCATTGAGGATCGTTAACACACTTAATCTCAAAATAAGCACCACAACTTGATCCATTGTTGTAGAGTGATGTACTTAAAGTTGTTGTCTCTAGTCCATACCCTTATTTGTGATGGTCAACATACCCACAAGCTCCCTTCATTGATAATTCAAGTGTAAAGGTCTGAAATTTTAAAAGAAATAAATTTATAATTTAAATGCGAAAGTGAATAATATGTTAGGGTTTACATTCCTTATGCAGTAAATTATAATGTTCAATAGGACTACGGGAATATCACTACTACAGTGGCTCGTAAACGAGAAAACAAATAAATAATTTAAAACAAATAGATAAATGTCCTAGGGTTAACATCCACTAGCTCTTGAATGGGTCCAGGAGGTAAACTACTCACAGCTTTCTTACTGATTGGGATCTGGATCCTAGTCCTCTTGATCTGAAATGATTAATGAAAGGATGATATACACTAGCCCAATATGAATATCACACTACTCACTAATACAGAAAACTAAAAATTGGTAAAAAATCATGAAAATAACTTATGGAGCCCTTACTTTAATTAAATATATTTAATTTAACAACGTTTGTTTAATTCTTACGTTACGATTTTTTCAAAAAATAATCTATGAAAACTCATATTTATACCACTTTTTATTTTCACGCATAAGTGAATAAGAGAGGATAATTTTCTTTTCTTACTTGCTTACTAGTACTCCTAGGAGTCTATAGGGATATCTCTATACTCGTGAACCTAATATCCAATTTTAACAATAAACTGGTCGTCTCCATACCCCGTCCGGTAATGGGCGCCAAACATTCTGTCGCCTCGATACCTTCTCCAGCAGGAGGGTGAGCCATATTTCTCAAACTTTTTTGGTAAAGGACTTCTCAGCCCTATTCGACTGAGGTAATGTTCACGGTATGGTTCCCTATGTACCGAGCCCGTCCTCTCTTTTCCTAGGTACCCAGTAAGTCTTTCACATAAAAATTATCATTAATAAAACAACCAACAAATGCATACCAATATCTCATATTATATTTATAGATCAATTAGATAACATTTATGCAGACGATATAACTTATCATAATAAGAGATCGAGTAACCAGATAATCGAATAAACTAGATAAATCGATAAAACTATAGAACTATAAATTA